TTCCCCATAACATCTTCTTTCCTCGGTGCAATAATGTCAACACCATTATCATCACTACTTTGTGTTTGGGTCAAAATCTTGCTCACCTAGCCCAACGCTACAGAGCCCAGAATAACAAGGACAAAAACATTGGGCCCGAGAAGTCTAGACTCTGAAAATAAACAGGAATAAAAGGTCCAAAATCCAACAAAAGCCCAGCCCAGAACCTATCTCAAGCTTGGGCTTCGAAGAAACTAAATTGAGGTTTGGCATGATCAAAGTATGAAAACCTCAACAAATAAGCTTATTAAGTCCTCAAGTCCAGCCACTTCTGCCCCTTCAGACTAAAGAAGCCGCAGTTCTGCCTGCTCAAAAGCCTCCCAAGGTTTGAAGTAGATTAAAGCTCTGCCAAAATTGAACTTTGGTAACGATTTACAGCTAAAGCTAAGCAGTTGAAGTTGTTAACAGCTCAGTCCAGCATAAATATACTTAGTCCAGCCCGGATAAGAAATTTCTATCCAGACATAAATGGAATTCCAGCCGTCTTTTTGTCTTTCTAGAGTTGATTTTTCCCTTTTAATTCTGTAGAAGGCAGTTCTACCTAAAACAGTCCACTTTATTATCATCTATTCTGGCCAGAACTACCAATTTTATACTGTGATAAATTATGAAGTCCTCACAAGTCTGAGGCAGGAAAAGAACTTACTTAGGAGATATTCCTCACCCAAATTCACAATCGCTTGTTTAGAAATTGGTAACTTAGGGGGCTAGTTATCTGTTTCAAAGAAGTCTGCTAGGATTTTTACTGCTAGCGGTGGCACGCTCTCACACCAAAGAAAGTTGGCTTGTTGACCAGTCAACGGTTTTCAAGGCAATGAGGAACTTTGCCTTCCATCACAGGAATAAAAACAAAACAGGTGAACAATTTGGCACGCCCAGTGGGACTTCTCAGTATACATACTTCAACAGAAATTTTCTGAAGTATATAAATATTGGTAGCTCTAGCCAGAACCCACGCCACGCCATGGAAAGAAATCAGGTAGTTCTCCGAGAAGGATTGGAGTCAGAAGAAAGTGATGCCAGACACTCAGCTCATGGTAGCACCGAAAGCAGACGTTCCAAGACCGACTCCAGGAGGTTGAATTAGATACAGGAAGCTGTGTTCCGACAGGAGGCTACAGCACAAAAGAGCTAGGATACTCTGAACAACATGACAGCCATGATGTAATGGCAAGTTAACAGACAATTCAGGAAGGACCGAGAGGCTGCCATGGCCAGAATTCCAAACCCAGATGTTGTAGTCCAGCAGCTAGACCTCTCTTGTGGCCCTCCACCAAGATTGGCTTGGCCATACCAAGAGAATCCTCTCATTGCACAGATAGCTGGAGTATAAGGGCATGGAGAGATCCGAGCTGGATAAAGGGCAGGAGCCCTTCCTGACCAAGAGCATGAGGGTCCAATCAGGCCAAAAGGCCCTGCACTGGTTCAGGTTCCTCAAAATCAGCCAGAACCTCCACCTATTCCACAACCCGTGGCCCCAACGTGATCAGCCTCTAGCACTTTTGCCTGAGGCACCAGTTGTGTTGCCTTACAGACCCAGAAAGATATATCCCAATCCATTCCCTTCACCAGTAAGAGGCAGAAGAGGCAGAGGGGGGATTAACCCCTTTGCCAACAATGACAGGAATAGACCAGGAGCAAATTGGAGAAACCATCTGGATTTTGAAGAAGAAGAATAATACAGGGAGGAAGTTCTGCCCAGGCCATACAGAATGGAGCACGGGATTCAACACATCCAGCCAGAATAGGGACGAAATCTACACCCTGTCAATGCTTTAAATGACATAGGGGCACTAGAGAGAATGATCAGGGAGATGATGGAGCCTGAAGCTGGAGGAGGAGAAAGGCCCACTTACAGAAAGCCATATCCAGCTTATATTGATCAAATACCTCTATCCCAGGGTTTCATGGTGCCAAACTTCACCTTGTTCAACGGAGAAGATCCCCATGCTTCATCAGTCGAGCATATAGGCAAATTTTCTATCCAGTGCATAACCATAGAAAATAACCCTCTGTTAAAGCTAAGACTTTTTGAAAATTCTCTCTCTGGACAAGCCTTCACCTTGTACATCAGTCTACCAGCTAACTCTGTTCAAACCTGGGAGCAAATGGAAAATGTTTTCCATGACTACTATTTCAGGATCCAGCCAGAAGTCACTATCAGTGATCTTGCTGCCCTCAAACAGAGTAAAGATGAACATGCTCAAGACTTCATAACCTGGTTTAGAAAGCTCAAAATGAAGTGCCGAATCCTTATGGAAGAGAGGCACTTTATCCAGATGGCTCAAATCGCCCTTAAAATCTCTCTGAGAAAAAGATTTGATGGGATGCTGTTTGGAGATCTAGCAGAACTGGCAGATAAAGCATCTAAGTATGAGGAGTTGCTTAAGGAAGAACAACAGAAGAGAAACTCTTCCAAGGGCATATACTACAAAACCCCTTCCTCTTCAATCCATCTGGTTGAGGTGGAATCAGAGGAAGACACAGAAGGCTCGGAGGAAAGAGAAATTGCAGTGGCAGAAATGGCAAAATTGAAACATCCCATCAGCTGCAAGGCTCTTACAAAACCACCAAAGGATCAGAAGCCGCCACCATTCACAGGAGGGTTTGTTCCAAACAAACCAACACAGAACAAGGTCTATTCCTTTTATCTAAACAAAGGTTGATGCTTTGTTTGATGATATGCTACTACAGAAGGCAATAGAGACACCCCACAGGTTGCCCAAGCCAGAAGAACTTAAGGGCAGACAGTATTGTAAGTGGCACAACTCTTGGAATTATTCCACCAATAGTTGTGTTATTTTCAAGGATGTCATACAAGAAGGAATAACAATAGGAAGGCTAAAACTGGTAGAGAAACCTCCATTAGTTACAACAGATCCCTTTCCCCAACCACAAGTTAACATGGTCAACTGAAATTGGCCAGAACAGAAGAGAAGCAAGACAGCGACAGAAGCTAGCTCCAGCAGAGGCAGAAGAGTCACGAGGGAGGCTAATCAAAGGCCAAAGGCAACTATCTCAGTTGGGGTAGTATTATGTAGTAGGTGCAAGTTTGAGAGTGAGTTAGAAGGTTTGTAAGTCGCATGCGTGAATTCGATAAGCTTGTATGGTTGAAACCTCCTTAGTTAGATAATGCGCACATGATTAGTATGTAATATTATTATGGCAAAGAGGAATTACTTTTGATTACAGAAAGGAAGAATTAGTTTTATGTTGTATTATTTGCTTCAACTCGTTTGAGTGTGTTGCATACGATTCTCTCCTTGTATTTTGCTTGTGAGAGTTAATGGTAGTTTTGCATTTGTAGTTGAGTGCTTAGGTGAGTGGTGTTCTTGCATGTTATGTTTAGGCTCTCGGTATCTTTAACGTATTCATTCTGGCCATGTGTGGCTACGTTGGGAGTTACATTGTTGATGTCGGTGTACTCTCCCTGGACTAACCTTTGATGGTTACTATGCCTCCATCTTTGAAAATTGGGTATATGTATCCTAAAAATTGGGTATATTCCTTTAGATTATGTATTTAGGTGAATGATGATGGGTGATAGAGTTCAAGCTTGTATTGAAATATAAGTAAAATCATGTAATTGCAATCTATTAAAATCATAAGTAAAATCCTAAGTGAATTAAAATAATATAATTGCAATCTATTAAAATCCTAAGTAAAATCATATAATTACAAATCCGACTGAAATCCATTACATTAAAATCATGTAATTACAATCTATTAAAATTTCAATTGAATACATTCCCCTTAATGAAATACTTTAAAATTGGTAAGTTTTTGAATACCACGGTACTTTGTCTTATCTTTTAAAAGTCCTAATTGAATATCACCACACTTGTATTTATGATTTAAAAATCATAATTGAATACCACCAGATTTTTATTGATTACTTACAAATCATAAATGAATATCATTGGATTTTTAAGCTTCAAAACAATCCATTAAAATCTTAATTGAATACAACCCACTAAGTCATTGAATCTCAGCCATCCATTTTTAACATGCAAACTCAGCCGTTGGATAGCCGGCTGTAACGGTACAGCTGAGGGACTAAAGAATTTTCGTTATAAAGATAGGTCAAAACATTTTGGGACAAGACAGTAGAAATGAACACCAATAGGATTCCATGTTTTCTCTAGGTTAGGGTTTAGGGTTTCTCTTCTCTCTCTTTCCTCTCCTCCTCCTGTGACGACGAGACAGCGCGACGAACAAGACTCCTCTCCTCTCAGGTATCTCTCTCTTTCTTCTCCATAATTGTCTCTCTCATCTCTATATCTCATGGTCTCTCAATCTCCTTCCCAGGCTTCGTTTCAAAACCAAACCCATACCAAAAATCTCAGCCCCAATCTAACCCCCATTTTGCTCGATCCCTGCCGTATATCTCTTTCTCTCTCTCTCTCTCAATCGTTTCAGCCTTCACTCTCCGTCTCACTCGTTTCAGCCTTCACTCTCCATCGTTTCAGCGTGATGGGCATCCTTTGAAATAGAAAGTTTGGGGTTTCAATTTTGTTAAACTGAAACCATCTTAGCCAGAAAGTTTAGTGATGGGCATCCTTATGGCATCACTCTCCCTTTGCCAAAAGATAATTTTAATTGTTCAAGGTTTGAGTTTTCTAATTTATATTGTAAGTTTTAGGTTTTAATTTTGGACTATGGTCTCTGCAGGTTTTGAACTTTTTAATTTGTATTTGGACCATTAATTTGGAGACAAGGTGAGGATTTCATATTAGTGTTGAACTAGATGCAGATTTAGTAATGTCAACTTCTCTTCCTCTGCTAACTCTCTCTCATCCAAAACTTCACTTCACAGGCGCTGCTCCATCTCAGCTAGCTCCCTTTCTCATATCAATATCAGGTACGAATGTGGCTGCTCCCTCCAATTCCTCTGTATTTCAACTTGAATTTATAGAATTAGGGTTTGTTTACTGTTAATTTGGGGCTTTTGTTCTAATTGAGCTGTAGGAGGTTTGTGAGGTAAATTGAAATGCTTGATAGAGGATTTTAAGGGGATGCATGATGTTGCAGATATTATTTTGCCTTGTGTTATAAAATATCTCAGCTGCTTGGTCTTTTAACATTCTCAGATTATTTTTTTCCTTGGGAAGGATGGGGTAAATTAGTTCCTCTGTTTTCCATTGGTGATGTTACTTCTTGTAATAAACTACCAATTAGCTTATTTCAACAATGCTAAAAGTGGTTTGGTTGCTGTTGATGTAATTTTTTTGTAATAAATTCTGATGAAATAGGCAATACATTCATTATAATTGCTTTCTTTTGAGATGATTGGTTTTCTAGGGTGCGGCCCTTTTTCGGGTCTGCAATATATAAATTTATGATAATCTTGTTGCATTTTCTCTCTCTCTGTTTTGGTATGTTTTTAGCGTGAAATTACATCTTCTTCTCTTTTGAATATAAATTTGGTCTGTTTTTAGTTGGTCAAGTATTTATAAGCTCGAAACCAGTTAAAATTTGAATTGTGAATGATGAGATTTCCATTTAATTTGAGGGATAAGTGATTCATGACCCTGAAATTATAGTTTTAGGAGCTGAATGCAAGGATATATAAATTTTATTGCTCAAAATTTAGGGTTTTTTCTGTTAAATTAGGCTTGTCGAATTAGGGCTTCTAAATTGAATTGGGGGTTGAGGTAGATGATCTGTTTGATCGTTCTGCATATTATAAAGTTCTGATGGCGATCTGTTCTTTTGTAGCGAAATTGATGAGAACTCTGGCCGAATAACCGAAGAGATAGAGAAGTGCAAAGAGCAGAGTCTTGAGAAGAAAGTGGCTTAGAGGAAGTCAAAGAACAAGTTAAGAAAGCTGCTTATGCCGTTTTAGAGATGCTCAACAACAGAGCATAGAATGTATAGGTGCTGTAAGTTCTTCGTCCAATCTTCATCTTTGACATGAGTTACACTATAGAATTTCATTAATAAGGTGACTGAAACTGATTAGTGATCATTCATACATCATTTTCATGTTCATGTTCAAAAGATAAACAAGTGATCATTGTCTCTTAATGCGTCTAATTCTTCGACTTGTGAGCCGTCCGCCATCACAACTGTGCTCCTCTTTTTCCCAACCTTTTCTCTGCATTCACAAAAACAAAAAACAGAAATGCTATCATTGACGTGAATTTATGAATTTGACTTTATCTTCTTTTATGTATGAATTTGAATGGCAGCCCAATAACTCAATTCTGAGATGTTTCTGTTATTTTATTATTTCTGATACATTTGCTTTGTTTACTTATGCTGTTTCTGTTTAATTTCATTTGAATTTTTCTTGAGATTTCAGTTCTGGGTTATCTCAAAGAATTCAGTTCAACTTTTTAATCTTGGTTCTACTTTGCTACCAGGTGTTCAGTTTAGCACTTAATTGCATAACAAAGCCCATCACTTCTCTGGGTTGATGTGTTTGTGAGAATACAATTTCGGGTCAGTAATTTCTTCTTTCTATTTCTGCAACACCCATGTGTTTATACATCATTGGTTTGTCATGAATTTATTGTCACAAATTTTTTTTTTGGTTCATAAATTTGGTCCATGGCAGTCTTAATATCTCTCCAGCTCTTCTCGTGTTCCTCAACCGTTTCTCAGTTCATACAGTGAATTTCAGTCTCGAGGTGAATCTCCGCAAACTATTGCTTGATACTCATCAATTGCTTTTCTTTTGAACCCTTTCTCTCTTTATTTTCATTTTTTAATTTCTGGTGCGTAACTTAATCAATTAATTTTCTGTTATTATGGTTCTTTATGTTCAGTTGTGATTTTCAGTTTGCTTTCTGCTTTGACTGGCATTTGTCTAAAAAGTTGCTGCTAAACTGCAAAGAAAAAAAAGAACTGTAACTGATTGAACACATTATTCTAAATATAGAAAGTGAAGAAGAATTTACCCAATAAAGAAAAAAGAAAGTGGGTTGTGAAATTGATGAATCCCATTATTCTAAATATAATATTTTGTTAACAAATTGAACCTGGAACCTGTCGAATGCGTCACATATAATATTGGGGCCCGCATGTAGTACTATTCTATGAGTCTTTTTTTTGTAGGTAGAGGTAGTGGGTGGCCAAAAAAATCAAACCGAACAAATCGAATAATTGAATGGAAAGTAACCGAAAAAAATAGAATTGACCAAAAAAGTCGCAACCTGACCGAAAATCGTAAAAAAGAAGGCGGGAGCACTAACAGGGTACTCATTTGAATGGGATGGAAAGGGGACTTTGGAGGGTTTAGTCATAGGGAGCTTCTAGTAGGGGTGGGCACGGTCCGGTTCAGCCCGATTCTCCTTTAAATTCGAAATAGGAACCAACACTGTTCATCCAGTTCAATCCGGTCCGATTTTTCATTAAATGACTTAGAGAATCGGACCAACCCGGACCAGTTTATTTCCTGTTCGGTTTTTGATTTTCCAGTTTGGACCGGCTCTTGAGCCCAATTTTTGTTGTTGTTGAATTTTTAGAGATTTAAGCCCAAGTGAAATTTTTTAAAACTTTTGGGCTTACAAATTCACAATTAGCCCAATTCCCATCCAATCATCCCAAACAAAATCTAGCAAACATAAAATTTAAAGTTACAACCCAATAACAAAACAAATACACATATATCAAATAAAATTACAAATAAAATTACATATTTAACATGCAAACTATTCCATCTAGCAGTGAAAACAAAAATCAAAAAATGCTCCATCTTACCCTTGTTCCTTCCCCTTGGCAACACGAAGAGGCATCTTCTTCAAACCTTCTCTGTTAAGATCCTCTCCCAGCCCCTGCATGTAGAAAAAGAGGATTCTTGGTGAAAAATTAAAATTACAACATTCGATTTTATAACAAAAACGAAGAGATAAGATTTGACCTTGATGAATTCTTGGTGAAAAACCACCTGAGTCTCAAATTCAAGAGCAATAATGCAAAGAATAGAACAAGATGGCAAGAAGTCCATTAGGATCAAAAGCTTAAAATTCCAATTAAATCCCTTGCAGTGCATCACTAGTATGAGATCGTGATCATCAAAAACAATATTACACAAGGAGAATTAGGAGGAGAATTCACCTTGCTATTCATAATATTTGTTTAGAAATTATATATTCAATAGACCTCTAAGAAATTAACTAATGACAAGAGAAGGATTAAAACCCACAACTTGAGAGAAAAATTTGAAGGCCTACACTGTTACTTTCACAGAGACATACCCCAAAAAATAAAAAATAAATTTTGAAAAGATTTTACCCGATCTCTTCCTTGTTTACCACAGCAATCTCCATGAATTGGTATAGATTTGATTTGATCCAAGTGAAACCATGAGATAGAGATTAACTGAAAGACAGCCGGTAGAAAGAGGAAGGAGAGAGAGAGAGAGAGAGAGAGAAGAAGAAAGAGAGAAATGGAAGAAGAAAGAGACAAAATAAAAGAGAGAAGCGGCGGAGAGAAGTAAAGATGAGGGAGAGAGGAAGGAAAGAAAAAGTGGCTTTAGGGTTAATTGTTGGTTGATGGGCTTTGGTTGTTGGGCTTGGGTAAGGTTAGATGTTGGTAGTTGGGCTTGGGAAGTGAGAAAAATCATGGGATTAGTAGTTGGGCCACCAAAATATATTCATTTTTTTATTTTTATATTTGATTCCGGTCCGGTTTGGCCCGATCCAATTTTTAGAGATAAACTGGAACCAGTCAGAACCAATCTGGTTCGGTTTTTGGTCAACTCAACCCAGTTTTTGGTCAATTCAATTTTTTCCCCTTTTTTTGGTCCGATTCGGCTCGGTTTTCTGGTTTTCTGGTTTGAATGCCCACCCCTAGCTTCTAGTTCTACCCAAAACCATATCACGGCCTGCAGAGTTTGAATTTCACATTCTACCCCAAGAAAAAAAGAAAAAAAACAACAAAGCCCAATCTCCTTAAAAAAGCTTAGAGCCCAATGTCCTCAAAATATATTAAGCCCATCAATTATTAAATCACCCTAAACCCTAAATCTACCTCCCTCTCATCTATATACTAGTACTACCTCTCATCTCTCCCCCATTACAGGGAAAGCAACCGGGTTCAATTTACACTTCTCCTTGCCCCTCCCTAGAGAGTGACGAAACAAAACTTATTTTGTGGGGCTCGGTTAGGTTTCATGGGCTGAACCAGCTCCTTATATTTATTTACAGCACAAAAATTGGACTATAGGGGATAGATTTTCTGCATAGGTGGCTGCATCTTGGTGCCCCATTGTGGTTCATCCTGATTTACGGCCCCCATTGGGCTTGCTCATAGTTGTTGCACATCTTACAACATCATATGTGATGTAAATCTAGATTGCACATTCAAATAAAAATTTATTGCCAAGTAACATGTCAAATTAATTGGAATTGAATCAAGTTGAACCACTGTATATGATATTTTCCTTGCCTTTTTCCTGTGATTTGTTGGTTTTGGTACCACTTGGATTGGGTTCCTCTATTTTCTTAAATGCAGATATGATTTGGATGCATATTATGAAGGGGGTTTGTTTGGTTTCTTCAGGAATTTATGGACATAAAATGAATAGTTAGATATGTATGGAAACATGAAGAATTGGTGTTCCAAGAAAGCTTAATCATGCCTAAATAGAACTTAATAAAGATGTAAATTTGGTAGAAACAACTACTGGAAGATCTTGATTTACTCTTACGGAACGGTTTAGTTTTCAAGCCAACCACTTGTTTTGTTTGAACATGTTTGCATGTTTGCATGTTTTTCTTTTTCTTGCTTATTAAATTATTATATATCTAGTACTAATGTGATACGACGTACCTTTACCTCAGATTAATGGCCAACAAGAAACTGGCATCAAAAAAGAAGAAGTCGAGAAACAAATCAACTCGTGCCAATCCTTTATCAGCCCAACAAGGGTCATCCTCATCTGCAGAGACAGCTGCTGCTTATGTGGCAAGTCCATCAGTGACCAACACCACTGCTGCTCCAGCACCTGCACAACGATTGTATGCTCGATGTCTCTTAAAAGAGTACTTGAAGAACTATTATCAATGGGATGAGGAGCAGTTCAAGCGTGGGGGTCAAAACATTCTTGGGTCAGTTGCATTTACCATTAACTTTTCCATTATATATGAAATTTTATTTAGGGGAATGCTAGCAACCTTCTAGTACTTTCTCCTTTGGACCTTCCCCATTTTCCTCATGACGTGTCACTTTCCTTACTCTTAAAACAATATCATCAATGCATCACACAAGCTAATTTTTGTTTACCAAGTTAACCCTTATTAAATTTGTTGGATTTTTTTTTGCACAGCAACTAGTATTTTAACAACTTTCTTTCCACCTTATTAAAAAATTAATACGGAAAAACGTAGGTTTTTTATATATAAAAAAGTGCTTACTTTTTGTTTTTCTGAAGAATACATACGTTGCTAATAAAATCTTTAAGCATAACTTTCTTTCCACCATATTACAAAATTAAATAAGGACAGCGTAGGTTTTTTCAGATAAAAAAGCGTCTGCTTTTCGTTTTTCCAAAGGATACAGACTATGATCATAAATTTCTGTCCTAGCATAGCATGAACTTCTTTTGTGCTTAAAGAAAAAATATATATATGTTCTCACTGGATAAATAAAAAATGACGTTCTCATTGAAAATTTAACTCACATTTTGAATTTTTTAATTTTTTTTATTAAGGTGGTAAGAAAGTTGTAAAAGAAAATCAATATATTTAATAAGGGTAAACTTGAAAAATAAAAATTATATTGCGTAATGCATTGATGACATTGTGTTAAGTGTAAGAAAAGTGACACGTCATGAGGAAAAGAGAGAAGGTTCAAAGGAGAAAGTTAGAGAGAAGGTTCATAACATTCCCCTTTTATTTAATGCTATTAATAACCCTGTTTTCTTTTCAGAAGTCTCGCGGGGAAAGTTGCTTATTTGGGGTCAAAAGGCATCACACATGGACGCTTGACTTGTGAAAATATCTTCGTAATTGGCAATGGGGCTGAGAATCTGGAGGTTGAGATTAAGGATATCCCATGTAGATACAACCCAGCCATGCCAAGCTATCGTGAACAATTTCTTACATTGGCACTTCTGCTGGTTGATACATGGAAAGCTACTTGTCCCTTGTTGTTAAAGCATTTTTGCAATATGATGGAATATTGCATACCTTGGTAAGCAAGCTCCTGATAACTTATTTTATTCCTATAGGGTCATGCATTAAGGCGGCAAATTCACACACCCACAGATGAAATAATACAACCTAAAAAGAAATGCAGACGTAGTTCAACTTAAACATGTTCAATATAAAAACCCAAATGGAGTTCTCTGTAGTTATGAGGATTGAGTGTTATTTGGGTTCACCTAACGTACTAAAACACTTTCCCAAGAAGAGGACGAACCTGCTTTCAATCAGGCACACGAAATATGTAGTGTGAATTACTTGGAAAGCCAATATTCTCATCTCTTACTCTCTTTCATTAAGTGCAGGTTCTGTTTTAAGCAACTGCAGTGGCATCCCCTACTATTATCGTCTGACGAAGTAGCCGCGGTTATATACCGTCTCTATACACATCTTAACATTGAGAGAAAAGGTTGGAAAAAGGATTACAAAAAGCTTATAGGGAGAGAAAAGGTTGACTTTGGTGAAATCATTGGTGACATCATTTCTGGAACTTCTCGTGGTGCCTTTGCTTTCGCTAAGGTTTACAGTTATCCAGGAGTCGTATATGAGCCAAATGCGCTAGGAGCACTCGTGTTTTTCAGACATGTACTCAAGCATGTTAATGAGCATATCCAGGAGGACCTCGAGAAGGAAAATGCGGTATACACATGACCTAAAAGTGCTTTTTAATTTATGTTAAACTACTCTTAACGTTTATTATTATTCAATTATTGCAGAAACAAGAGGAAATAGAGGATGCACTTCTGGTATTAACATGGCCTAAATTTGCTTTTTCGATTTTTTCAATATTACTATTCTCTAAAACATGTTTGTATTCAATTTTTGCAGACAAGAGAGGAAACAGTGAATACGCTCGTGCACTTCTTCCCAAAAGTGCCCCTAGAGTTATTCAATTACATGCTTTATAAGCGCATTGACATAAATACTACAATTACATAGAGAGCTTCAAATCCGGTAAACATATTATTTTGTATTCTCCGAATTCATACTTTAAATCCAATGTCACAAACACATACAATAGAGCTTCAACTTTTGGACCTGTAGACTGTTAAGAAATCTATCAGCTTAAGACTTTATTTAGTTGAGTGGTTTACTGTAATTTGGGTACTGCTCTTTCATTTTATAGTAATTTCTATCATTTTTAGTTTTCAGTGTTGAATTTCATATTTCGTTGCTTTATTATTATTATTATTTTTTTCTGAGTTAAGTATTATTACGTCTCATTTATTGGTATATTCTATACTCACAAACCAGCTACAAATTAAGCCCAAGTAATTACTGTATTATTATTGTAACATGCAACTAATTAACACAGAATGATTCTGCTAAAATACTGTGTTATATATATATAGAGCATTTTAACACGAATTGGGTGACTTGGAACTTACCTCGCCAATAGCCATTGTGGCGGTTGATTTACGCTTCCCCCTTTTCCTTCCCACCCTCCTGCAATGGCGGATCAAACATCTTGGTGTGCCAACCAATTGGAAAGTGTAAGCAAGCTGGTAGGTATGGAGCCTTGCATATACGATCTAACCAAGGATTTAAATATAGAGGGTTTTGGAAATATCAGTGGTCTAAAAACACTGAAATATTAGTGGAAATATTGAGAAAATATGAATATAGATAAAAATGGAATAAAAATGACGGAAAGTGGTAGAAAAACATGGAAATTTGTGATGAAACTTGAGAAGATGTTCAATTAGTGAATTATCTATTGTTTTGACACAATTTTTTTGAAAAAATATGCATTGTATGATGAGTTTGAGTGATTTAAGTTGAGCATAGTGCGAGATAACAAATATTGTAACTTGAAAAATGAATAATATGCAAGTAATCAAAGGGGATATATTATTATGCAGGTTAAGAATAACAAACGTAAAGATGGAAATATTCATTAAAACCTCCGTTCACAGTAGCTTTTAAAAGCAATCAACAAGAACAGATGAAATAGATCAACGCCTTGGTGAACAAAAGAAATCAACAAGAAAATTGTACCTTGATACAGATACTTTTGGTTCCTCGCATGAGTTATTAGTATAGGATGCATGATGAACCTGAGATCCAAGAAAGTAACAACTAAACGTCTATATGAATTTGAACTGAGTCTCCTGAAAATAAATAAATAAATAATTTACACGTCTCTCTTGTTGACTGATTGAACGGGTCGACTGCTAGGAAATATATGGCAACTTTGAGATAACTTGATGGAACAGCAAAGCGATTGAAAAATATATTGCACAAATTTCATATCTCTAACAAATCATGTTGCTTGACGTACCGTTATTGGTTAACGATCTGTAATGCACAAGTTTTTCTCAAACTTCGAATGCAAGTTAGAAGCAATCCTAAGGCTGCGCTATGATTGTTGATCTAGGAGTAATTGTTTCAGTTGAGCAGGATAGTTGATTAGGTCAAAAAGAGACAAAGTTGAAGCTTTCAAAGGCTGCTTGAGTAGTGCTCAACACGCGTAGCCATTACCCAATAAAGAAATAAGAGAGTAGGTTGCTGCCAGCGATGATGAAGAGGACTTTGCATTAAGAAAACAAACGGGCCGAGGCCGAGCAAAGACATAAAATATTTTTTTAATCAAAAGTAAAGGACAAAACACCTAATACCCGCCTTTAGGTAAAGGTGCACGCAAATACGTTGAATTATTGATCAGTTCCCACGTGGATGGGCCCCACATGTAGTCCATTTCAAATTTCCTGAGGCCACCTCCTACTTAGTAATATTTATTTACAGAACATGTCGTATTCGTTACATATAAACATTATCTCAGAAGTCCTCGTTCTCATCGAGTTCGCCAAAACCATTCGGACAAAAACAAAATTAAAAAAATTCATACCGGCCATTAGACGAAGCTGCCATATAAAACTCACATGGATATTATCAAGAAATTACTGATGGGGGATACTTAATTAGAATGCTTACCTTGGCATCCGTGTCAGGGAAGTTTTTCTCCCAAATTAGAGAACAACTACCTATTTTATAATCTTATCTTTTATTGTTTTGGTTAGAAGGTGGTCCCATACATATTCCTTAGCACAAAGCTTTTGTTAAACTCACAAACCAAGGAAGAAAACAAAGCTTCTTCGACTCACAAACCAAGAAGAAGAAAAAAAGCTTGTTCAACTGTGGAAATGCGAGCTCTTCAGATTCAATTTAAAGTCCTCGGAACTCTAAACTCTAGTTTGGTTAACCTCAAAGCACAGGGTAATGAGCTCTCTAAATTAACTCTTTACATAAATTTTAGAGTCGAATTTTATAGAGAGCTCATAAAATAATTTTTTTAATTAAATTTTAATTAAATAATAAAGAGTATGATTATAAATGATTTTAGTATTTTTCTCAATCCTAATCGTATTTTCGCCCACATACACAAGGAGTTGGCTCCTTTCAACATAGTTTGGAGCTCTAAAGAGAGGAAGATGTCAGGTTGCTTTGGGTTCAGGTTTAGCTAGTGCGGGACTATGGGTTTAGCAGGTATGGCATTATGATTTTCTTAGTTTTGTTTTAGACTAATAATTTTCAAAAACTCTTTAGGAGTTTGCTGTGATTTGTTTTCTATTTAGGATTTTTATTTCTTTTTAGCTTTTTTATACGGATTTTCCGTTTCTGCTGTTGCATGGCGAATTTGTATTGTAAGTCTAAGTAAATGTGCTTCTGGGTGGTAAATCAGGAATTTAGTCATTGTTTGGGTTGTGCGTGATTCTCTCTAGATCAATTCAATATATTATTGTGTTTAGTCACTCGAGAAGTTTACCCATATTTAGCACATAATTGCTTTGTACATTTGTTTGCTCATCAATGATATACTATTGCTTATTTTCCACACACACACACACACACAAAAACCAAGAATTTAAAACAAAAGCAAAAGAAAAATTAGAGCATGCAAGGAGGAAAACCCATCGTGCGACCTAAGATAGTAGAAATGAACACCAACAGGATTCCATGTTTTCCCTAGGTTAATGGGGGCTTCAGTTAGGCCATCAACAACCCAAATGGGACTAAACCTAAATTTTACCATCCAAAATACACTATTCATATATTGCTCATACTCAAACAATTTTTTCCTCTAACTCTATAAACTTAAAATATAAGTACGCACCTCTATTAAATTGTCCAAGAATGGTTAACCCATATTTGTTGTTGTTGTTAATTGGCTAAAATGTGGCTTTACCTCCTAAATAAACCATAATTGTTAATTTACACACTCGATGATTTTTTTGGTAAATTAAGGATACGAATTTGTTAAAAATAATCAATTAGGTGTCTACCGTCATATTTTTAATGATTTCATCCATTTCTATGTTACTTTCCCATTATTGAAGGGAAAAATCGTCAGCTCGCCCTCCCTTTTGCTGAAATTAAACAAAATCACTAAGATGTTACAAATACATGAAATTTGGGAAAAATCGTGGTTTAGAGTTTGAAGTGTGGGTAATTGCGATTTTAGGGTTGAGATGTGATTGCTTGAATAATCGGTAGAGTGAAGATTCGTTTGTAATTGGTGGGTAATACAGAGAAAATTTGATCGACTTTGAAGGTGATTAATATAGGAGATGGTTGTTGTCTTGATAAATGGAGGAGAGCGAAATCAACTTAGTCAAATGCAGAGTGGAATGAAGTATAGAGTGTAATACATCTTCGGCCGAATTGAGTTGCACATAAGTATTAGGATCAACTATAAGCCAACTGGTTTGGTGATACAGAGAATGTAGGAGGGACCACATTCCGATGACTAGTCATATTATCCAAGCGACTTGCTAGTTCTGGAAGGTAAAAGATCACCTCATCAGTGTTCATGTTATTAATTGTAACATCCCACATTGACCAACGAAGAGGGGGTGATGTGCCTTATATGCCTTTATCTAGCACGAGGCCTTTTGAGAGCTTACTGGCTTCGGAGCCATGGGAACTCCGAAGTTAAGCGAGTTGGGGCTAGAGCAATCCCAGGATGGGTGATCCACTGAGAAGTTACTCGTGAGCTCCCAGAAACAAAACTGTGAGGGCAGACAGAGGAGCCCAAAGCGGACAATATCATGCTACGGTGAAGCCGATCTCAGGATGTGACATTTATTCCTCATCAATGTCATCAAATTTGCACAGACATAGCTTCTCGTTACTCCCCCTTTACTCTTAAAGAGAAGGGGTCGTTAAAGCCAAGAAATATGAGATTTTTCATGGAAGATAATCCATAGTCACATACATCTTCTGGGTCGGAGAATGGTAACACTTAAATCCCTTTTGAGTAGTAGACTATCCCACGAACACACACCAGAGTTCAGAAGGATCAAATTTACTTGGCATGAACATAAGCAACACACCCAAATATTTTCGGAGATAGTTTGGAGATACTTGGAGGATCAAAGTAGTCAGTAAATGCCTTAAGAGAAGTCCGATAATCAAGAACATGGCTAGGAACACGATTAACCAAATAGGTAGCAGTTTAGATGACATGACCCCCCATAAATAATGTGGAACCGACATGTCAAGGACCGAGCCATTTCAATCAATTGATGGTTCTTGCGTTCAACCACCCCATTTTGTTAGTGTAGTGGAGGTTTGATGCATAATGCTTTGTTCAGGGAAAAATTGAGCTAAAGTGTGATTCACATATTCTCCGACATTGTCCGAGCAAAAGACCTTGATTGACACATGAATTGAGTTAAGATCATAGTATGGAAATTAAACAAAATGGAAGAAGTGTCCCTTTTGTGAGCCATCAAGAAAACCCAAGCCATCTTTGTACAATCATCAATAAAGTTGACAAATCAATTCTTTCATTCAGAGCAACCTTAGCAGGACCCCAAACATCATAACGAATTAAATCAAAGGGCAAAGAAGTTGTACGATTACTCAATGGATAAACAACACAATGACTTTTAGCCAAGACACAAGTTTCACATTTGAACTCATACTCCACATGATGGAGAAGAAAAGATGGGAAAAAAGAAATTGCTTGAGGTAACCAAATGACGAATGTCCCAGGTGACGATGCTAGGTGGTATGATTAACGCTATCAGAATAGGTTCCAGTTGGTAGTGCTAAGTAATACAACCCCCCCCCCCCCCCCTGGGCTGTGTACCATGCCAATTGTCTCTTGAGTGTTAAGATCCTAAAACTGGCAATAGGAAGGATATAAAGTAGCATAACAACTGTATGCATGAAGAAATTTGGCAACAGATAATAAATTGGAATTAAGTTCAGGAATAAGCAAGGCATTTGAGAGAGAGATAAGGTGCGGGAAAGACAAACAGATCCTTCACTGATGACGGGAGAGGGACACCGCTGACACTAGTGATGTAGGGATGACAGAGTGTAGAAGACAAGTAAATATGGAAACAAATACTTGAGGTAACCAACCAACGAATGTCCCAGGCGACGATGCCAGAGCCAAATCTTGTCTTTGTTGATAACACGAGCACTGTGAACGGTATGATTAATGCTATCAGAATAGGCTGCGGCTAGTAGTGCTAAGTAGTACAAACCCTCCTCCGTGTACCATGCCAATTGTTTCGTAAGTTTTAAGATCCTGAAACTGGCAATAGGAAGGATATAAAGTAGCATAACAATTGTATGAGTGGAGAAATTTGGCAACACATAATAAATTGGAATTGAGGTTAGGGACAAGCAAGGCATTTGAGAGGGAGATCCTTCACCAGTGACTGGAGAAGGGACACCATTGGCATTAGTGATGTAGGGATGACAGAGTGTAGAAGACAAGTGAGCAAACATGCTAGATTCAAAAGTCATATGATCACTTGCTCTAGAATCAATCATCCATGTATTTGTACCATTAAGTGGTGGTGGGTCATAATCAGATAAAAGAACATAGGGTTCCAACAAAGTAGACCTCGTACAAGCAACAAAGAATGTCTTATCATGAGCCATGAATCAAATAGCGCACAAAAACAAAGCAAAGATCGTAGTTATTAATGTTGAATGTTTTTGTCTACACTTTATTCTAAAGCTAAATTAAAAAATAATTAAAGTATTTATGACTCCTGCAACTAAATTTCAAATGAAAAAGAGGGAGCATGATTGTAAATGCCCTTTACCCTAAGAGCATTTCCAACAGTCTCTTCAATATCTATGGTTTTTCAAAACATTTATTTTACTTTGGAAGAACAAAACCTACATTGAAAATGCTAAAAACATGCACCTTTTCTTTTAAGATATTAAATATATAGACATTCTTCACATGTTTTCATTTTTTTTAGGCTTTTTATCACAAAATGTCCCTGATGTTTACGAAACTATCAAATTACATCCTTAAAGTTTTTTTGTATCACTCATAGTCTCTAACGTTAATATGGGTGCTCTTAAATAGTCACTCTGTCAAAAAAACATTAAATCCAGGATATAATCGTCCAATCAATCCAAAATTATAAAATATATATATATATTTTATTTCCTTCCCTTCTCCCTTTCTTTTTTCTTCTTCTTTCGTTTCAATTCAACACCCAGTGAGAAGTGTAAGACAACAGGATTTTACTACACATCAATTCTCCGTGTTATCAAACGGGAAGGAATATGTGGCCAACAATTTACTTCTTTGAATCTTGACAAGGTAAGAACCACCTCCCTCCTCTTTTAAGTTGACTTGGCTAGCTGCAATGTCTACCCGCCATCCTGTCTCAATCACAACAGACCAGGATAGAATCATTCAGGCTGCTGTTGGGCAAGTATTCCCTGGAACTCGCCACCGATTTTGTAAATGGAATGTATTGAGGGAAGCTCAGAGAAATTGTCCGACATATATCACTCACACTCCACATTTGAAGCCGAGTTTCAGAGGTGCATCAATATGACAGAGACAATTGATGAATTTGAGTAATGTTGGGAGTCCCTTCTTCAAAGGTATGATATTGGGGATAATGAGTGGCTTCAGTCCATGTATGATGCTCGCCAGCAATGGGTGCCAGTTTTCCTTCGGGATACATTTTTTGGGGAGATGTCTGTAACCCAAGGAAGTGATAATTTAAACTCATACTTTGATGGCTATATAAATGCATGAACTAATATTCAGGTGCTAATAAAGCAGTAGGAAAAAGCTATCATGTGAAAAATCCACAGACACAGACCCATTTGCTTATAATTGAGGAGTGCAAGAAGAAGAAGAAAATGAGAGAAAGAAGAAGAAGAAAGAAAGAGAGAAGGGAAGGAAAAAAATAAATATATATTTTATAATTTTGGATTGATTTGACGATTATATCCCTAAATTTAACAATTTTTGTTAACCTATTTAAGAGCACCCCTTTCTCCCAAAAAACACTCTTAGAGCCTTTTCCACTTTGAGGGGGGAGGAAGCCATTGTTCTTCCCCCCTCTCCCCTCTTCTCTTCCTCTTTTCACCTCTTCCCCCATTTTCAGAGACAAAGGGTTTTCCCTATTTATCTTAGTTTTGTTATGATTTTCATCCGACCATTATAGGCAGCTGCGGCTCAGCGTCGGATCTTTACCTGCATTTCGGCGTCGGATCTCCACCACCATCTTTTTTGCAATTTCTTTATATTTGGAATAAGTTGCAGAGACTCTTTGAGTTCTCTGTGTAGTTTTTATCTCTCCTTTTGTGAGAGTTTTTTTTATCTCTCCTTTGTGAAAGCTTTTCATCTCTCCTTTGCGAGAGTTTTATTTGTATTGTTATGCCTTGATTTTTTCAAGCTTTATCTCTTTTTTATTATTCTAAGTTTGCAATCTTAGTTGGGATGCCTATGCCAGAGTTTCTTCGATCCTACCTGATCGTTAGTGGAGACACGCTATATTGTCTTAATTTTGATATTAGACCGCTCCATTATTGTAATGACCCTTTTGTGGCTAGTGACTTTTTTGGCTGAATTATGAATGTAATCATAGAGTTTCTCAAAAAAAAAAAAAAAAAAAAAAGAGCATCTATATTAACGTTAGGGATCATGAGTGATACAAAAAAACTTTAAGGATGTAATCTGATAGTTTCGCAAACGTCAGAGACGTTTTGTGATAAAAAGCCTTTTTTTTATACACACTTTATTAATTCAATTGAAGAATCTATTAGAGGATACATTATTAAAGTAACAAACAGATGTTTTTAAATTACCACATTCATCAACAAATTTTTAATTTGACGAGTTCAATTTGTTAGTGCCGTTGGAGATGCTCTTACCTATAGCAAATTCCAAGTGAAACAACACCCCAAGCACAATGCCATGAAACAGGGCATAAATTCCAAGTCTAACATGATTTTTTATTCTTGGGTGTGCTTACAAAGGAAGCTACCTCCAGCAACTCAAGTCAACGGAGGTAAGACCCACACGATTCCCACCTACAATAAGAAATCCTTTTCTGCTTTTTCTGCACAAAGTATTTCTGAATTATTTCCAAGTAGTCCAAGACCCGTCGGAAGAACCCCCCTCCATCCCGTCTTATTTCTTGTCAGTAGTGCACGTTCCAGTTCCCGTTCGACAAGTGAGTAATTCTTTCTCGGTAAGATTCTCCTCTCGCCTCTCTCTCTCTCTCTCTCTCTCTCTCTCTCTCTCACATGTTTTGAATTTTCATTTCTTAATATATTAAGAGAAAAGTTATATTCTCCCTTCACCTCTGTCTCATCTTTTCGTTTCGTTTACAACTATATGGTTTTGAATTGCTACTGATGATTGAATAAGACAGTATCAAAGTGTGCTTTTGAGATCAGAGTGGCCTTACAGACGAACTAAGAGTTATCTCATCAACAACATATAAGAGAGAAAAGAGAGATTCATACATGGATTTCGTTGAAGGAGCTCCTTCATCTACAGTTGATATTCCAGAATTTTTAAAATCCTTCCCGAAGCTGTCTAGCTCTGATTCATCTGCCAATCTTGATTCTTTACCTAATGGTGCTAAAGTTGTAGCCACTGAAAGTCTTGCTAGAAAAACATCTTCTTCTCATTACACGTTAGCGGACATGTTAAAAAGATCAGACGTTACTTCACGATGGGAGGATGGTCGTGTTGTGAACGAGTATCGCAGAATTATTCGGTCAGTTTGCAAACAATTTAATATTTTTTCTTTCTTTGTAAATGTCATTAACAATACGTTTGGATGTAAGAAATAAACTTTATATTTAGACAAAAATCAGAATTTTTATATTGACATAAATTAATTCCCTATTTAGATTTAAAAAAAAAACATAAAAATTTATAAATTACACATGGAAAAAAAGGAAGTTGGATTGAATAAATAGAAAAGTTGATATATATCCAAATTTTCTTTGAGAAGTTGGGTTTAATCCTTGGATTTTGGGACTTTGATACAAGTTCTTTGACTTTTATGCCATATATGATTACATTCATTTTTAAATATTTTCTAATGAGGTACAATCCTATATTTACCTAGTAAGTTATGTACATAATCTCACATTTATATAATCTTATATTTACCTAGTAACCAAGTACATTAGAAAATTTTACCTATATATATACATATATTAATATAAAGCACATGAGTTCATAGTACCCATATATTAGGTACATAAACACTTCATCAACAGTTCTCTTGTTTATATTGTTTTTCTCAAATTTTTTATTTGTTGCTATGCTTAAACACCACTAATCAACTTGATAAGTATAACATATTGTGTTTTCAATATTTGGGTGTCTACCTGATGCATAGGTACATAATTTCATGTGGGTACTTGTCTCATGGATTAGTATAATATGTGGGTCTTTACGTTAATTGATTAAATTATATTTTATCCATATATTATGTAAATATTCATAAGGAAAGAATTCAAAATTCAAAATTTAAAATTCAATTACAATGAAATGATGCATTAAATTGGATTTTCAATGTGTTTCCTTGTTTACCTAAAAAGGTAAAATTGATAAAACAAAAAAAAAGTAATAAAAGTTAAAGGACTTACAACTAAAATCAAAACGACGAGGACTTAGCCTAATGACAACTAATCATTTTGGACCTAGATCTAAGAAGCCCTTGAATAAATCCTATCTAAATGGTTGTCAATTCTAAAATTCCAAGAGAATAGAAGTTTTAAAATAGTAAATTTCATGTGTAAAACCATTAGCCAAATAAGAACCTATACAAATTTTAGAACATTAATTTACATCATTTTAATAAATTCCATCGTTTATGAATTCCTCTACTAGTGCACTGTTAAATTTCAGAGAGACAGGCCTATAGCCCATTGCTAGCAATATCGATATTGTCCCCAACTTAACCACCTGTATAGCAGGTGTGGGGTTTTATACAAAAGACCTCAATATTATTAGGAATGCAGTAATTAATTAGGAGAATATCTCATAATTATACAAGGATGTGTTAACTATATGAAACAAGAAAGTAAATCACCTAATTAACTTAGGAAATAAATCTCCTTAATTTAGTAGGTTAACTCACGTCAACATTCCCTAACTATACTTTTTTTGAAAGGGATATTATTGAGGAACTGTTTCAATTGGAGTTGAAAGATATACGTTCTGGCTACTTGAACGATGATGACATAGTCATTATTCATGGTCGAGCAAAGATCCCCTATTTTGCGAATCCTTGTATTGAAACTAAATTGTCAAGCTATAGACAAGAATTCAAATCTTTGGTTTCAAGAATGCTCGGGGAGAATGCTGCAATAGTGGAGTTAGTGCACTTCTATCGCACGATCGACCACCTTGGGTAAGAAAACCATCTGAACAACTTTTTACTATTTTTTATTATTATAAAATAATTAGGGTTAATGGTTTTATTAGTCCCTGAACTTAGACCTGATTTGCATTTGAGTACCTCAATTTCCAAAATTGTTCCCTTGGTCCGTCAACTTCAGTTTCGTTAGGACAAATAGTCCTGCCGTCAATTTTGTTAACTTTCTGTTAAATGCTGGGGCAAAATGGTATTTTTGTATCAAAATTGATTAAAATATGAATAAAAATTTAAAAAACAAAACAATTAAAATTAAACTCTCACTCTCCCTTTCTATCCTGATTTTTACTCCCCCAAACTTGATTTATATTTTTTTTGGTTGGTTTTTTATTTGATTTGATTTTATTGTTATTTTAAAGATCTAATTTTTAATTCATTTTTTTGGTTTTAACATAAAAATACCACTTTACCCCTGCATTTAACAGAAAAAGTTAACAAAGTTGACGGTAAGACGATTTGTCATAAAGAAAGTGAAGTTAAAGGACCACGGGAGCCATTTTGGAAATTGAGGTACTCAAATGCAAATCGGGTCTAAGTTCAAGGACTAATAAAACGATTAACCCAAATAATTATTATTGTTGCTATTATATAAAATAAAAGTATATTTGCTTGTGGATTAATTTTCCTTGTATACATGAAGGATGACTTTTAATGACTTATGGTATCATCCTCTGCTCCAATCATCTAATGAGAGATATTTTTTCCCTCTTGACGCCTGGTTGCATCTTCAATATGAGAGAAGACTTACATGGAGAAATATGTATCAAAATGTGGCGAGTAATGATATTGACATCAACACAATCATTGGAAAATCTAACTATAAGGCTTTTAAGTCCGTTCTTTTGAAAAAAACCAAAAAGGAAGGTGCATATAAGAATAATGCCTTGGGAGTGTTTGATTACTCAAGATACATACTCGAGAATGTTAATAAAAATGCGGACAAGGACAATGAAAGAATTTCGGTATGCATATCACCTTAAATTACTTTGTAAATTTATATATATATATATAAGAATGTTTAATAATTTGATATCAAAACTTTTGCAGACCAAGCATGAAGTGGAAGAAGAGCTTACTTCATTGTTCCCCACACGGCTAATAGATTTATATGAGTTCTTGTATTGCATGGGCATTAGCATGGACTCCTTACGGCTGCGAAGGTACACTACTACACAAAGTTCTTTCTATATTAATTTTCTTAAATGCTATTAAAAGGAGCTTTACAACAATAGTAATATATAAAGAAGAACATATATACACATTCTTCCTCTATTGAGGGATCCCTTAAATAATTTTATTTGAGGCACACTCTTTAGGAGCCCCTACAAATTTCCAAACCATATTTTTCACATCTTTATTCATAGACCATCCTTTCAAACAAATCATGCACATTGAAAATCATTAAGGCATCTAATTGGGACCAACAAAATAGACTACGGTACTTCAACAAAAAAACTATAATAACAATCATCTAATTGATTAGTAAAATCGTTTCGGATTCAAGTGATTCTTTTGCATAGATGATCTTTGAGAGAATATCTAAAAACTATTAGAAGTGAATATAAAGGCAAAAACTCTCATCCGAAATGTCTGCACGTTATTATTGTACAGATACCATCATAGACAAGGAAGAAAGTAAGGAGGGATAGTAGAAAATACATGGCGTCCGTACGATAATAACATCCAAACATCCGCATGATAATAACATCCAAACGTCCGCATAATAGAAAATATGTTATTAAATAAGGCTAAATTAGTACACTTACAATATGTTTAAATTTAATTAAATAAAATATAAAAGGTAAAAAGAGTACTATAAAAGTTAAGGGGCACACACATAAACTGAGTAAAAAATCCAACCGGCACACGCGTAGGGTTAGTGAACTATTAATTCATAGTTTGATTTTTTAAATGAAATAAAGCCCATTTTTTTTAAGTTTGATCTCTATCAAGTCGCCTTCGTATCTCTTTGCGTGTGTGCCAAGGGGCTAGAGGAACAAAGAAATAAGCACATTTTTCTTAAGCCCATTTTGTTGAAGCGTGGTCTTCGTGTCACTTTGAGACGTCAGCTTTGCATTTCTTTGAAGCTCTCTCAACCAAGTTGATCAGTAAAATTTTCATTTAAATTCTCGCAGATCATATTGCTTAGACTCTAATTGGATTTAGACCAAGCTCCCACTCCATTATGAATCGGAAATAAAAAATCGCACATCTCAATCCACAAATCGTAACTCATAAAATACTATTTGGATTCTGGAAATCGCAACAGAAATCTCAGTCGTCATCTTGATTGCAGTCTCAATCTCTTACCAAGATTCACAAATCGCAAGCTCTGATCAAAATTCAAGAATTGCACAAGGTCCTTTGTAATATGCATATGAATGGTATTGTTTTGGCTTTGGTTGTAGAGCTTCTAAGCAAGATTGCAACTCAAATATGAAATTAGGTCCACTACTAGTGATGATGTCGATGCGATGAAAAGATAAAAAATCAATCTACTATAAAACTCATAGACAAAAGATTTTATGTTTTTTATAGGATGTAAAATACCTACGAAGATGTTTATCCCAAAGTGCTATTTTGGTGTATGCTTCAATTTATGGTATGTATCTGATATCATGTTGTTTTATTATTCCCAGATCAATGTAGACGCAGAACTTTGATCATGAACACAGCTGCCCAACCTTCACGCGCCAAATGCCAAAGAACTTGATCATGATCGATGTAGACGTAGAACTTTGATCATGAAAATGATCCTAGCTTAATGGAGCCGATTGCATGTTGCAGCATTTACATTGCTTTTGCATAAGCTAGTTTTTTCTAACTCAAGTTTTTAGTACCATGCCTCGAGTTTCACATGATAAGCTCTTTGTGAATGTTGGTTCGTAATCATGCTATCCTTTTATCCCATGCCACTATTATCTGTGCTTTATAACATTTTGGAGCTTTGACCCCTGCCTAGTATGATTGACTGGTCATATCTACTAGTTAGTTGTCGTTCGGGTTTTATGTTGCTCAGGTTGTAGGTTATTTGCTTTGACATTGTTACTTTTGTCATATTTTGGACCAAATTAATGCTTTTGGTTATTTGATTAATGTGCCTTGGATTGTTTTCTATTTGATACATTATGTGTTTTGGTACTTGTTTTTTGAGCTCTGCATTTGTTATGGTTTTTCTTATCTTTAGCCAACTCTTACATGTCATATGATCTCCTTTTGATGTGATTTGGAAGTTTTTTGGACTTTGTCTGACAGGACCCGTCTCGAACTTCCCCCTTGGAATCCTTGACTAACTCTGCTTCCCGTCCAACATCTAATTGATGCCGGACCCACTTTCCTAAAACGTTCTTTAGCCCTAATTTAAATTGATAAAGACTTCAACTTCTGCTGAAATTTCGGCAGTCTCCCTTGTAACTAGAACATTTTCCAATTTATAGTACCTGCAAATAAGTGCTAGAACAAACCCAACTTCCATCATACACAAGGTAAGGGCACGCACAAAAATTAAGACTATGGGCTTCATGCCTTCTACCCAAGCTCAAAATGAATAAGCAGAGCAACTAAAGAGTAAGTTTACAACTCGGTTAAAAGGAAAGTAGAGAAAGATAAATGAGAAATTCCTCCAGTGCGGACCGTAGCGATGCCTCGACATGGTGGTCTCGACCTCGGATATGTAGAACTTGAGTGTAATAACTCGATCCTAAATTAATATTTAGTGAATAAAATATTCAAGTAAAAGACAATTTTACCCCAAGAATATTTTAATGGGCTTAAAGTTGACTTTTTGTTTAGGAAAGATTTTAGGGAATTGAATGGTACTATTGCGTAGATCGTGTCGAGATAAGTTCGTAGGCACGTAGTGAGCTCAAATCAGAGTTGTAACGAAAAAGTTACAATCAAAAGAAATCCAGTGGCAAAATTGTAATTATTTCAAAAAAGGTTTTTAAAACCCCAAAAAGCCCTCTCTCTCTCTCTCTCTCTCTCTCTCTCTCTCTCTCTCCCTTTCCCTCCCACGTGCGACCCCTCCCCTCACCCGTGAGTTTAACCGGCTGGTTTTTAACCAGCCACAGACCACCACCGGCCACAAGGCCGGTACCTACAGGATCGCCACCTCCTCCTCTTCCAGCCCCGACCCTTCCCAACCTCCCCCACCGCCTGTGCTTGCCAGAAAATCGAGAAAAGTCTCCGGTTTTAGGTAAATTTTCTGGAGCTCATTCCGGCGATTTCGGCTACCAAATCTTGGGATTTTGGTATGCTTTTTCATCATCTCAATTTGTTCTAGCTGATGGTTAGGTTGTTTAGGATTGATTTCTGCATTTTGTAACTCGATTTAGCGATTGAAATTTGGCCGATTTTCAGCTCGCGATTATGGCCATCTCTGGCCACTTTTTAGGGTTGGTCCAGAACAAAAGTTGCTGCATTCATTGTTCGGGTCAAGTAGGTATAGGTCTTGACCAGCGATTTGGAGATTTTTCGATCTCTGGAATCGCTTTGGACACCCATGCGCTGCTGAAGCATGTGGCAGCGCTTGGGTGGCTGGTCTTTGGGTTCTAAAATAATCCCCATGTTTTCCCGAGCACAACGGTATGCTCGAATTTGAATTTAGTTATCATTTGACCCTCTATCAGATATTGCATATTGGGTGTTATTCGGGTTCAATATGTTCAAACCGTTGGATCATTTCCAATTTAAAATTTGTTGATCTCGGCATCTATAGGATTATGTAGGAATTGGCGGATTGTGAATCAGAGTCCCGAATGCGTCGATTCAATAATTCAAAGTTAAGGATAAATGATAACTGTCCGATCTTGCGGTTGCAAGCGGTTTGACCGTTCGATGTGGACCAAACTTGCATGACATGTTTATTAAATCTTGTTGAACCCATAGGAACTTTCGGATCGAAAATCGGAGGTATTTTGCACAATGGGCCGTGTTGCCCAATTTTGAGAAGTTTGATCATTCGGTTGACCGAGAGTCTTCCGAGGTAGTTTCATCCTTCAAGAAGTGTAAGAGAGATTCTAGAAATGAGGCTTGACTGTTATGTGAATTATTTTGATTATGGTTAGATTTTGAAATTTGATTTTAGTATTTTATGGTTGTTGAGGCCTAAAAAATCCACGGTTGGGCCTGAATAGATTCCCGGCCCAAAGCGATACATTATTGAGAAAAGACCTAATTTGGAGCACACAAAAGTCCGCCATGCACGAGTCACACTAGGAATAAATAATCTGTCACGCTAGGAATCGAGATTAGGATTATAAAATGCATTTAGCTCTGCAAATCCATGCTAAGCATCATAATTAAAAGCTGTTTGGGCCAAAAATTGACACATCCAGCCCAAGGCCCATCAGAACAAACAAAGCTGGTTTGGGCCTCACAGGCCCAACATAATAGGAAGAGGGAGTCCAGACCAGAAGAGGGAACAATCCCACATGGCAGCCTCTGGGATAAAAGTCAGCAATGGCGGAAGTCAGCAGGGATGAAAAGTCAGCAAAGGCAGCCTCTGAAATGAAAAAAGTCAGCAATAACAACTGCCATAGAAGAAGTGACTGAAGGGTTCGTGACATCAAGAAGAACTGAAGATTAAGTCCCCCTTATATATGTATATACAGAGATTTTTTCTGTCTTTACAGAGAAGGTAAATCTCCCAAAATAGATAAGCAGGTTACAATCTCAGAGAGGGATAAGCAGGAAAGCAGGGAGCTGTCCAGAAGGGGCAGCTAAAAAACAGGGAAGTGATCATCTATCTGAAAGCCTATCAGCCAGAATTGAAGAAAAGGAGGAAAAGGGGGGAAAATATCTTTGCCGCCCAATAAAAAAAACACAATCACCCTACTCCAGAGAAGAAACAGTTTTTCTATAAATACAAGGAGGAGTGGACAGGGTAGAGGACACTCAAAAAACCAGAAAATAAATCAAAAACAAAAACTCAAAATGACTTCAAAACACTGAAGCAGCCAAAGGATTTAAAGTTGAAACTTAGCAATCAGAGTTGTCAACATTCCAGTCCAGCCCGGACAGTTCCAATCCAGCCCGGACAGTTCCAGTCCAGCCCGGACAGTTCCAATCCAGCCCGGACAGTTCCAGTCCAGCCCGGACAGTTCCAGTCCAGCCCGGACAGTTCCAGTCCAGCCCGGACATTTCCAGTCCAGCCCAGAACAGAGCCTCCCATCCAGGCAGAAATGGAGTTCCAATTGTATCTTCATCTCTCTAGCATGAGTATTTATTGTTATAGTTTTGTAAAAGGCAGTTCTGCCTAAAAACAGTTTAAATTCCATCAGTTCTGCCTAAAACAGTTTAAATTCCATCAGTTCTGCCTAAAACAGTTTAAATTCCATCAGTTCTGCCTGAAACAGTTTAAATTCCATCAACCATTTTGGCCAGAACAGCCTGTTTATACTGAGATAAATTGTTAAAGTCCTCACCCGTCTGAGGCAAGAAAAGAACTTACTTGGGAGATATTCCTCACCCACATTCACAATCGTTTGTTTGCAGAAATCAGTAACTTGGGGCGCAAGTTATCTACTCCAAACTAAGTCTGCTAGAATTTGTTTTGCTAGCAGTGGCACGCTCGCACACCAAAGAAAGCTGACTTGTCAACCAGTCTATGGTTCTCAAGGCAGTGGGGAACTTTGCCCTTCCATCACAGGAGTGAACGCAAAACGGGCAAACAAAAGCATGCCAAGCGACATGTCATGCCAAGTTGGTAATTATTATTGCACACCCAACCACGCTACAAGCCTAAGTGGGCTTAAGCCACTTGAATGCCCGAGGCTTGCTTGAGTGAATTGTGGTATGGATGGTAATAAGTTGTCATGAGGCCCATTGATGGGCTGAGAGATTGAGGTTCCGAGTTTCTTGGGAGCCTTGGAACTCAAGCCCATTTCTTAGGCCCAAACATGTGGGTGAGCACAAAGGAGAAAATAGTCCATTACCTCAGTCAAAATAGCCCATTAATTTAACCAAAATAGCCCAACACTTGATAAGGTTGGCCCATTTGTTTGATGAATTAACATGCTGTCTTAGAAGGCCCATACAATTAGACTAAGAAGCAGCAAAAGCCCCAGCACTTGGCTGGAGAACATAGCCACGAATGGAGCCTGGAGGTCCACGTGCGCAGAGCTGCTAGGAGGCTCCAGCACGTGGGAAGGAACAAGTTTCAAGCAAAAACATCCAAAGGACCTGGGGATATTAGCGCACAAGCTGCCTGCCAGGAGAAGAGGCACCCTTCAAACCAGCATGTATGCCCATTTTCTTTCCTTCATCAGATCTAGCCATGGAAGGAGGAAGGAAAGAAAAAGGGAAATAGCTGAGAATGAGAGTCTCCCACTGAAACAATTGCGGGAAAGGGCCTTGAGCTCCCAAAAATCCTTGATTTTATGCAAATGGGCAGAGCGAATTTCATCAAGATGGGAAAAGTCAAGGGAGGAGAGGAGAAATGAAGGGAAAGATTTGGCCAAATTGGATGGAAACCATTAGGGTTTCTTAGGAAGGAGGAGCTTCCAGCGGCTATAAATGAAGCACCTTCTACCCAACAACAATCAACCCACAACCAGAGAGCAAGCTTCCTCTCTCACCTGCAAAACCCAGAAAATTTGTGTTAAATTCCTTCTTCTCCCCCATTTTTCCTATTCTGGCAGACTATTCTAACATTTGACAGAGCCTCTGTTAAGCTGCCGGAAAAACACTTAAACCACCTATCCTTCTCTCTTT